CAGGGCTGCAACTGATGATTAATTTTGTTGCTAATTAATCTCTTGACTGTGATCTTGACTCTGATCAGTTAGTTGTTTGGTCAAATGTTTTGTTTTGTCCACAACCCAAAGATATCCAGTTTACGGTCACAGAGGAGGAAAGAAACCAGACATTATTCACATTTGACCCTCTGAACCTCCAAACCTCTCTGTGCTGCACTGTCGGCAAAACTATACAAATCTGAGCTTAAAATCGTGATATTTCCTTTAAGTCACTTTATTCTACATACCTCAGTTAGAAAATTTGCCAAAAAATAAACCAGATCATGTAAAGAACAAAAAACTCTGTGAAGCCATCAGTTACTCAGCTGAGACCAACAGTAATGTAGGAAAGTTCTTTGTAATTTTTGTATAATAAATCATGTATTTAAGAATTGTCTTTTTTTTCTACATAATTTATAGTAATATAAATTAAAAAATGAAACCACAGTGAGTCAAATATGACAGGAGCAACAAGAACAACAACAAAAACCAAACCACTGAGAAACTGTGTGGGGTTCACAGGGTTAAGAAGCTGGGCTTTATGTTTGCTTTTTGCTTAAAAAAAAATAGGCAAACTGATTAATCAAAATAGTAAAATATAGTTGGTTATTAATTTCTAAACAAACTGATGAGACAGTTGATTGTCACAGCGCTGAAGCAAAATAGGCTTCTGAGCTTGGATAAATAAATGTGTGGAGAAATGTAAATATGACATCGAATTCCTCCATACGTCACATATTAAATCCTGCACTTGGTCCTTTTATAGAGAAAATATTTATATTGTAGAGTTCTATAGAGAAAGAAAATATATTGCACAAGGTTCTTCTATATATAGAAAATATCTATACTGCACTGAGTATCTTGAATGTATAAAATATTTATATGGCACTAAGTTATTATATATATATATATATGAGAGAGCGATATATATCAATACTGCACTGAGTTCTTTTATGAAAAGAAAACATTGATAATGCACAGGTTTGAACATTCCTTATATGCTTAAATATACTTATTTTTTTAATGAATGCAGTGAACGTTAATACCCCTGTAGCGTCTCTGTGTGCAGTGCCCCCTGTTTAACGCCGTCCCTGTACTGCCCCCTGCTGTCCAACAGGCGCATGTCTACATCAGTGTGTCACAGGTCGCACTCAGTCAGCCGGAGTCTCCCTCGACCCCCCAACTAGGAACTCAAGCTTCTCAAAGTCCTCCTCTTGGCCTGCTCGGCTCCTTATCGGGCTCCGGAGACTAACAAACATCATTGTGCGCGTCCAGGCCGGAGGACGGAGCTGCAGGAGCGGCAGGAGGCGGAGGGGAGGTGGTATAAAGTCAAAGGGCTGCACATGTGGGGCCACACTGACAGCAGACACCGCAGCCTGCAGGCGCTCCGGAGGATCTCCGAGGACACGCTGTGAGCGGAGGACGGACAGCTGCTCATTTATTCACTTCTCAAGGATTATTAACACTTGTTTTGTTTTACAAGAGCCTGCAAAAGAAAAAAGAAAAAGAAAAATAATGGATTTATACAGTTTAATTTCCGTGGTATCAGTGATGTGCTCCTGGATTTTCTGCACAGGTAACTTCTGCCGAACAGCTGCGGACTTGATCCCATCCATTTAGCACAAACAGTCATTTTTTGGGGGAATTACAGAAGCAATAATTCTTTATGTCATTTAACAGCTTAAATTTGAATTACACCCCTTCGCTGTGCAGTTTTGCAGCTTGTGGCGCACTTGCCTTGACATTAGCGTCACTTTAGCGGCATGTTTTGATAACGATGCTTTAATTTGCAGCTCTGTCGGCACCGACCGCCTCCACCGGTAACCTGCGGCACCGTGTGCGGAACAAGCGCTGCTCCTGCGCAACTTTCCTGGACAAGGAGTGTGTGTACTTCTGCCACCTGGACATTATATGGGTCAACACGCCCGAGTGAGTACTACCACGAAGACACTGGTGGCTGTTGTACTTGATGGTAAAGACATATGACGGGCTAGCTAACAGTGCAGTGAAGCTAGCGAATTTATAGGAATTTTTTTATTTTATTTATTTTTTTGGTGGGGTGTAACTATGGATAAATGATTGTTTTCCAACTCGGACAGTCTTGTATTGGTGTCAGATATGTTAGTTGTTGTTGGTTAGCCGTAAGACATGTTTTATTTAGCACCGATGTTAGCCTAGCCTCCACAGTTCGACCGTTAATTTGAATTTCTCTGTCCAGGCGCGTGGTCTCCTACGGACTGGGCAACGCGCCGCGGACGAGGCGCGCACTCGCGGACTCCATGGCAACCAGCAGCAGCAGCAGCAGCAGCAGCGCGGCTCCGCGGTGCCGGTGTCTGCGGGAAAACGACGCCACATGCGGGAGCTTCTGCGGGCTGGAAACCCTCCGCAGGTGTGTGTGTGTGTGATTTACAGCAATAACAAACTTAATGAGACTTTAAAGGAAAACAAGTCGCCTCGAGTGTGTGGTTTCTGCCTTCACACGTGCGTGGAAATGACTCTGGTGTCGCCCCCAGGTATGAGACTCCGGTGATCCGCTCCCCGGAGGGCAGCGCCGACGAGCCGCGGCGCACACAGCAGCTGGCAGCGGGCGGGATTAAGAGGTAAGACGGGAGGAGGATGGAAACGTATTTGCTAAATAAACGGACATGGTAATTACACCTCCCCCCCCTGCGCAGCACCGAGGTCCTCAGTGGGCCAAAACATCTCAGGGCGCATAATTCTTGGCTGCGTAAAACCCAGCGATTAGAACAAAACAAAACAGCCAGCACGTGTTTTTAGAGGCAGAAATTTGGAGATTAAGCAACAAGCGAGGAATTCCCTGCGAATGCTGATGACTGAGCACCACTATGAATTCCACAAAGCCGCTAAGATTGTGCGGAATTCACCCTGAGTGCGCCCTCGCTGTGAGAACTGCGCGTAATGGAGCCGCTCGGCCTTCATGTACCGTCATGTCTGAAACCTCTCACCGTCTCAGGCGCCACAGCTCGTCTGCACTTTGACACATTAATAATTGGAGAAAACTGAAAGATGCACAAACCACTCAGAAGTCAGCCTGACACCTGGTCTGACAGCTGAACCCACCCAGTTACAGAGAATTTAATCAAAACAGAAGCTTGCTCACAGAGGAGCCAGGCAAGACTCTGACTTGTTGGGTTGTCCTGTATGTTTTTGTGTTTTGTTTCAACGTTTGTTCAAAAATATGTCCAGTTAATTTAATAATTAGGCAGCAAAAGAGGAATAATTTTTAAAAACTGTAAAACATTGTGAAATTAATGGTACATATCTGTCAAATATTGATATTTAGGCTGATTTAAATACAGGTAAACAGTCACACATTGTAAAACAATAGATTTCCATTTGAAAAAGGTTTTGACTTATTTATTTTTGTAACAGTCAACATGTAAGGTAATACCTTATTCTGTGATTTTACTAGTTATAATCTGCAATTTAACAAAAAAAAGTAAAATAACTTTTTCTCCCACCATTTTCAGTTATTATTATTTAATATGAAGAATATTTATAAAACAGATTTTTTTTTGCTGAACATTAGTGTCATTTTGTAGTCAAACATTGCCAAAAAAAATACCATTTATAAAATTATTTACAGTTTTGACCTTTTTTTTTCACAGTGAAACATGGAAATTAATTTTTTAAAATCTTGTGATTTTTCTATATATTATCTGCAACTTAACAAAACGGGAAATCTATAAATTGTTTTAAAAAGTTAAAGTTAAAACTGCGGGGGAAAAAAAACCAACATTTTTTTACAGTGTCGGGTCTTTGCAGTATATTGAATTAAGTAGGTCAAGCTCCCTGATTCATCACGCTGTAGGTGTCGGCCTTAATAAGTATTTGCAGATTTTAAACAACTTCTGTGCGGTTTAAATCCCTAATATGGTAAATTCACATCATAAACAGCACTACAGGGTCCTAACTCCAACATCTACACTCACCAGTCGTGTTCTTTATTAACTGTGAAGCTCTCGGCTGTTGTGAATGTGCTGTTTAAGTGACAGGAACTTGACCTGACTTACATAACCTTCTGAGATGGATGGCTCATGTGTCTGACTGTTTTCTGTCTTCGTCTACAGGAGGAACAGTAACCGGGTGTCGCCTGCAGCGCTGAGGGCTGCACTGAAAACCCGCCTGCTGCTGGAGAAGTGGAGGGCGAGACTACGCCACAGGGCGAGAGCCTCCTAAACAACACCGATCAGCTCCGCACCTTGTCACAGAAAGGTTTCATAACCACGAGCCCTTCGATCGTATAGCCAGAGGGGACATCTGTGCAGCGGGGAGCCACCGCAGAGCCCACCTGAGGCTACTCGAGTCCACCCGAGTCCACCTGAGGCTACCTGAGTCTACCTGAGTCCACCCGAGTCCACCTGAGGCCTGCAAACTTCCACGTTGGCTTCACGGCTGTGGCAGAGCTTTTACAACTCGACCGGGCTGCACTTCAAACAAGGTCTGGGACAATACGAGGAGTTCAGGTGAAAGGAGATAAGCTGAGCAGAGGACTTGGACACAATCTGCAAAATCAAGGACACTCATTGATCTTGACAGATGTCAAGTTTCTCTTCTGGACTCAAAAAAAGAAGCACCACAAACATTTCACAAACTTGAGGGGAATTCATAAAACTCCTTCCCTCAGAGAGTAAAAATCCCCACCGTATATGGAAGAGGCTGCTCTACTGCTTGTATTTCAAATCACAGATCATCTGCCAGTAAAGTCAAAGGGATGGTGTGCCTGGTGTCGCTGCTTTACTCAAGACCTGTTTCACTGACTGAAACCGTTCTGCTGCATTTACACGACAGGTCGTCTCCTGTTCGTCAGCTGCTGGGAAGTTTTCCTCACTCATCACAGATTTCTGAGCATTTATCCTAATTTATGTTTTCACTCGATGCGTGTGTTGTTGCTGAGCTCTATTTATTTATTCTTTTTACACGTTGTAATTTGAAGGCCATATTGGTCCGTGTCATTTCTGTGAAATGGTTTGTCGCTAAGCTGCCGAATTCTGGCCAAACTTTAATAAATTTTTACACTTATTTAAACCTAACGAGCGACTCCTTCGTTGTTCTTGTTTGGTCTTAAGAGGTGCAGCAAAAGCATCAGCTCTGGAGGGTTTAACGTTGGTAAACAGAACACAGATAGCAAGAAGGGAAAGAACAACAGAGCAGAGGATAAAGAGAGAGATTTGATAACTAAGTGTTGATGTGGAGGACGACGAGGTGGAGAGCAATCAAACACAGCTAACTCGTCCCTTTCATGTCTCTGCCAAACCAGCACACGCACTGCAATTTCTAAATAAGCTGAACGTAGATTCACGGTTTCTTTCGGCGGCTCCGATTTCAAATGCACGTTTGTTTTTCATCCCCGTAATGATATTCTTTAAAACGCTCTCAGAAACCCTCCGCCGTGCAACTGTCCCGAGCTCTGCTGACTCGTGAATCAGCAGAACTCGAGTCCCCGTCGAGTTGTTCCGTGAACAACCCGCTCAGCTCTGATGGTTTTAGCAGATAGGCGTCATTATGTTCAGCTGTTGTCCCTTAATCACCTCCAGGGGCATGTGGCGCTCCCCCCTGCCCCACTAGACCTCCACTCTCCTGCCACTTCCGCTCGTATCTCAACTTTAATCTGGGCTCATGAATCAACTTCATTTCAGTAAATCACTCATCTCGTTAATAACGCTGCTGCGAAAAGAAAACCCTGCATCACGGAAACTTTACAGAGAGAGAGAAAGGTGTGATTCTGAGCCAATAACATCAGTTTTAAATGAGCACAAGCCAAAGATGGAGAATTTCATTAACCCACTAATCAGCAGAACGTCAGCGAATGATTATTTTTAACGTTGGTTAATCAGTTTGTTCTTTTCTCCATTAATCAAAATGTCAGAAAATGGTGAAAAACGTTGATGTTTCCCAAAGACCAACGTCAAGCTAAAGATCTTCAGTTTGCTTTCATTGAGGAGGAAAGAAACCTGAAAATATTCAAAGTGACAAAGCTGGAATCAGAGAGTTTTAATAGTTTTTTTAAAAAATGACCACTAATGGCCACTGATTGCTAAGCCAACAACTAATCAGATAATCATTTCCAAAAGCGAGATAAGAAGATACTGATATGAACCGAGGCTTAACTACAGAGCTGAGGTCAGAATTGTAATTTTTAAATTCCTGTTGGTCTTATTA